CAGCTCCTCCTGTTTGCCACCCATGCTGCGTGCATTGGTGTAGATGCACTTGAGCTGGGCTATCGATTTCACCCCCGGCATCGGCACGCCACCCCTAGGCTCATTTGTAGTGAGCCTGGTTTTATCCCCTTCCCCCTTCGAACCTAGTTTAAAGCCCTCTCAATGAGCCCTGCCAATTCGTGAGCAATGATCCTTTTCCCCCTGTGAGACAGCTGGACACCATCTGCCGCCAGCAGGCCCGGTGCCGTGTAAACTTCCCCGTGATCAAAAGGATCAGAAGGACGAGGCAATGACAAAAAAAGCCCAACCCACACTCTTGCTCCATTTCCTAGACAATCCTTCCCATATTTTGCTAAATCTGCCATTCTCAGTTAGCACAAGTACTTCACAGGAAAGTGCTAGGACCAGAAAAAACACACAGTTCTGTCCTTTCTAGTTATTCTGACCCAAGTTACGTTACAGAAAACTATTCTTACAGCACCAAAGCCCACCCATAATACGGAATGTGAAATAACAGCTCAGACTTCTTTCCTTTCTATCACTGACCGTTAAAAATATAGGCAGCATTCAGTGCTATCTGTCTCTGTTGCAGTACGTTCAAGTAGAACGTTGCTCTGTCTCGAACTTCGTCATCACTGTCCATCATGCACCTGTTTTGGGGAAGAAGAAGACAGCAGTCAGCCAGCTCAGGACATCATGAGAGCCGAGCTAAAAATGGCACTGACAAGCTTGGACTTGATACTGCAATGACAGTCTGAGCGCCCTCAACAGATTTTCAAATTATGCAAAAAAAGTGTTCATACAACATGGTAACTGAAGTTTAACTTGAAGTTTATATGCAAGTATCACATCAGAAAACTAAGATTAAAGGAGATGCGAATGTGAATTGTTAACACCATGCATACTTGCTAGATTATAAAATATACACCTGCATTTTATGGCTAATAATTCTGATGGACACCGTGTGGTTGCACTTTTTTTTTTTTACAGCATTCTTTCACAACAGAACAAAAGCAGAAATAAATAGATAGATTACAAGAATAAACATGTTAAAGCTGCTTTCTATTTCAGACTGAAGAAATGGCTGTGTGCTCAAGTATTCACCTAGTTTTTCAATTATAGCAGGTGGTTTATAAAGAGAGATTCTCTCTCCCTCCTGGCAACTGCCCTCCCTTCCCGCATTGCTCAAGTCACTTCTTGCAGTTGTAATTCACTTGCACCTACACCAAGGTTGCCTTCTGCCTGAAGCACTTCATAATTTGCATTATTCCTCTCACCACAGAAGTCAGACATGGCATTGGTTTACACTACAGTGCTATACAAATGAAGAACATGACATTTATGGTACAGACAATTTAAGGAGGCTGAATGGTCTTAACAAGAGACAGGAACCTGTGAAATGGGAACACCTAAGATCACTACTCAACTGTACACAAAAGTTATTTATGAGTAACATGGAAACGTATTTTCTTGCTTCAAAGGATGCAAAAAGCATACTAAACCACTGTAGATTTATTACCCACTGAGGAATGTTCTTGGACCAGATCACTATCTGATGTTTTCATGACTAATCACATCTTTCATTTGCTTATCTCCAGCAGTGCTATGGTCCCTCCAGCCAGGAAGGAATGATGGAAGGCAGCCGTCTCCCGACTCCTCTACTGCTATGCTGTGACAACCCCAGTGCAAGTTCTGACCTGGTCTGACCTTGCTTCTTCTGTGGAGCCAGACCACCCAGTGTCACCAACAAGCTCAGGACATGCACAGCACAGCCATACCCACTCACCTCTGCAAAAGCACCAAGATGCTTGGAAGAAGATTCTCGTTCTGGGCACCAAACTTCGCTAGTGCACTTACAGCGGCTAGAGAAGAAAAAAGGGAGATGTCAGAGGTGCTCAAGTTATACGCAAACACATTCTCACAGCCAGATTCAAAGCACTGTGTGTACTGTTGTCCTGAAGTTCCAATTTACACAGGTTTTCACTTCCACACTATAAACCTTTCAGTGTTATGGAAAGACTAAACTATTTCCGTATTTTCATGGAAGTATTTCCAGGCTTCGCAGGAAGGAAGTATCAGCCTGCAACATGCTTCCAAGGAGGAATCCTTACCTTGTGGAGGGGAGATTTCCATATAAAAAGATGCTAGTCTATAGCAGACAGTTATGCTTCTTAAGGAAGTAGCAGCGTCCCCTCCTCACATATTACCTCTCAACTTTTGGGAAACATTCAAAGAAGGGACTAGAAGCTAACATATTGCTTATGTTCTGCAAAGCAGGAGGACCAAGTGCTGATGCTAAGATGATATGAGGAGTTTAAACACCTTGCAGGATAAAACCACCTTCACAGCTGATGCAGGTAGGAGCTAGCTCTTCGCAGTGCCTGTGGAGTAACCATTGCCTCCCACACCCAAACCCAGTTTCAGCCCCGAGATTTCAAGCAGGGCTCGGATATGAAACCATCGAGCATTTGAGCTGAACTTACCAGCCCTCACAGCCTCGTTCTCCAGCACCACCCTGTTGAATATGAAGCGGATGTACTTGGATGGGGATGGAGTCCTCGGCCCCTCTTTCCCCAGCAGGTGCAGGATCTTTGTAGCTAGGACAGTATGTTCGCAGTCTTCAATGAACTCGCAGAGGTGAGCCAAGCCCGATTCCTTACTCTCAGGATTCTCCTCAATGATGCTGATTATACAGTCCACAATGGCTCGCTTGTACTCAAAGCCACCCTGGGAAAGGAAACTGAAGGACACTGACCCGGCAGGCAGAGCTCAGACCACAGTGCTACTCAGTTCCCCTCATGCTTCAATTACTTCCTTCCATTGAGAAAAGCAAGCATTTGTATATAAAAAGAAAAGAGAAGGCATGCTGGATAACCTAACAGGGTCTTCCCAGTCCCCCCTGACCCACAAAGGCACATCATCTGAACATCTCTTCAGATCAGTTTTTGATGTACCAGCTCTAATTCATAAGCACATTTCAGACAAGTCTGACCTACGAGATAAACAAGGTCTTGGTAATCAGTCAGGCCCCATCATTGCTTGTACCCACTGACGTAAGACAGAAGAGACCCTTCGTACTATCTATCAGAGCTACCTGCCAATAGCTACACAAAGAAAGTTTCAAACATACATCATCCCTGAGCATATTGGAGAGGAAGGTCATCATGACGCTGTGTTTCCGAGGGTATTTCTGGCACAAAGCACTGATAGCCTGTACTACCACTACCTGCAAAACAACAGAGAAGGATGTTAGTCACGTGCATTTATTTGTCTATGGAAAATACAGGCTTCTCACTATCTCAAGTTGTCACCTTGATAAATTAAATTCATGTACAAGAAGGATAAAAATCAGGTGGTGGACTCTCAGCATAAGCGTGTTAACAACCTTATGCTAGCATGCTGCAAGACCTGGCTCTGCTAGAGGGACTGTAATTTAGGATGGACTACATTAATTCAAAGGCTTCCCCTCGCTTCCTCTGCCCAGTGATGATCCTGACCTAATTCCAACTTAACTAGTTACATTTTGTCACTAAAACTCTTTGCAATTTTAAACTTGTCTAATACTTATTTCCTTTTCTCACTAAAACAAGAACTTAAGACCACTGTACGCTAGCGGACAATGACTTTGTAGAGACATGTTATGCTCCTCAAGGCAACTCCATGGTGTAAAAGGGACAGGTACAAGTGAATTACCATCCTTAACCAAGTTATTACCGGAGTTCACAGTGATTAAATGTGACAAACTAGGTAGAAATTTACAGTTCACACTATTTCCTAACTACGTATCAGACTGAAGTGATATAGACTCAATCAAAACAGTTAAAATCCCTCTTCCTCTCCAAAGAAGCAACCAGAAGGCAGTACAAGGTTTTGCAGGATACTGCACAGGAGCCAGGAATCCACTAAACGACATTTATCCTTTCTTGGAGTGGTGGGAAGAAACGACACAGTATTTTTAGGTTGGAAAACAGAGGACTACACCTTCTGAATTTCAGGCTGGCTTTGCTCTATCAGACTAAGTCACTGAAGGATTAACAAATGGGAAAAGCTTCGTAAAAACAAGAATGGGAGAAAAACCTGCAGCTGGAAAGAGCAGAGGCCTCCAATGCCACACCTTAAACTCATCTGATATTTCTGACACGAAGGAAGAGATCTGTTTCATGAGCCTGTCTACACTGCTCTCACTCCCTGTCTTCAGCAGGGTGGTGATGGCGAGGGTAGCAATACTGCGGTTGGAGTCAGTGATGAGGTTTTCCAGGTCCAGGTTGCAGGCAGTGACTGCAGATGGATGCTTCATGGCCACCTGTAAAGAATGCAATTCCAAATTATATGGGAGCAACAACATCCTACAATTCAAAGCTTTCAACGGAGCAAGGATTAAAGCCCATATTTTTTTCAAGCACTGCTCTGTTCCATAAGGATTGCAACAAAACCTACATCATACGACTGCTGGATCTTTTGTTTCAGCATTTCAAATTAATTCCTCTAAGTTGTAGCTCATGGGTTTGACAGTCACAAACTGCTGCTGTTGCGGTGTGCAGCTTTGAAATCACAATGTTACCTCCTTCACACACATCCTATTCACACTTTTCGCAGTATTAAATATCCAGGACTCTGCTTCCTTACAGCTGAAAGCTCACAAGCTATCCAACTACAGCTTGTTATAGCCCCGTGGTCCAGAAATCAGCAAACATAGCTGAGTGCCGAAAAGATTTCTGTCACACCAGGAGATTTGGCATGGAAAAGCCAATTCTCCAACATGGAGTACTACCAAATACAGCAATCACAAGAGCAGTTGTTCTACTTTAGGTAACACACCATTAGGCACTGAAGTCTGGCTTCCTCTGATGCTCAGAGATTTATGCTTGTTTAGAAGGTTTTGGAAGCACTCACTTTATTAAGGGTCCGTACAGCTGCATATCTCAAGACAGGTTTGGGAGAACTACAGAAGAGCTGCAGCACTGAAAAAAAAAACCCAAAACAAATCAAGAGAAGTAACTCACAACAAAACGTTACAGAGTAGAGGCTGTTTAAGAAAAACCAGCTCCCAGTACTGCAACTCTAGGCATCAGTAACGTCCGGGGAGCAGAAGGCGAGAGCCCTCATGACCATACCGGATGAGGAAAGGGAAATTGCCTTATGCCAGCACTTTGATATTGAGCAATGCAAATAGTTTAGTCAGAATTCACCACGGCAGAAAACCAGATATGGTCTCTTTCTTTGAAAGAGAGTAGAGAGGAAAGTCTAATGTATCCACATTCAACTACATGCTGCTAAATGTTCATGCAGCTCTATTCATAATTTATCACTAGCTTCACAAGCAAGTTAAAAATAACCTCCTGTTTTTCATCTTGTATCAATAATAGGTGGTTTGTGTAGTCGTCTGTGGCACATCTGTGCTATCAAGTTCTCCCCTACCTTCCCTCTCACCCCAACTTCCTGCAGCTGGAAAAAGGCAAGCATCGCCCCGTGTCACCCCTAGTGCCCATAGAATCATAGAATCATTAAGGTTGGAAAAGACCTCTAAGATCATTGAGTCC